AGAATTGTGAGACAAAGTTTATTGATTGCGTGATCATCTCAAAATGATTAATTCGGATCAGCCCGAAAATAACAATGAACTGATATTTTCGGAATATAAATAAAAATTGGTTTTTTTTTTTTTGTGAAAAGTAAATTCCGTAGGGATAATTAAATTATTCATTTCGGCAATTAGTAACTAAATTCCGTCAGGTATAATTCAATTATTCATAAATTTAGTTTACTACTCTCTGACCTAACCGAACCCTAACTAGAACAATGATTGTTGCCAATAAACCGGAAATTCGGTACTATATAACCATTTTTGTAATGGTTTGTTTGTGGGGGCTAAGTATGTACTGTACGTACGTACGTACGTATATTTGCATTAGGTACATTCTCATTCATCAATTATATATAGTAATACTTAATATAATGATCTTCCTTATAAAAGAAACCGGAAAAAATTATCGTTATTGGCAAAATTCTTCTCGAAAGAAAAAAAAAAATAAATAAACAAAAGTAAAAATTGTCTTATATAAATATACAAAATCATAACTTCAATACCTCATTTATTGAAACTGTTTTACCTGTTAATTTTGTAATTTGTAATAATAACAAAGCAATGCCTGATTTTCCTATTTTATACTTTGTTCGTACTGACAATGATAGTGATTGTTTTATTATTAAAATCGATGAAAAAAACTACTGTCTAATTGACAGTGGACCTGCTCACCCTTCATCTTATCAAATTTTTAAATCTGCGATTTCAAAATGTAAAATATCAAATTTTAAAAGAATTATTATTACCAACCCACGTAAGAAACACCTTGGCGGCATAACCAGATTCTTAAAAGAATACTTTTCACCTAAAGATATTCATGCTGAAAAAGTTCCACAACTTGATCTTGATGTGGTACTTACTGAAGAATTTAGCAATAAACAGATTATTGATATTCTAAGCCACAATGGATTTGAAGTGGATAATAAAAAATCGAACTTTGTGTATCGAAATATAATTATGGATTGCATTTTCCATAAAAATGGGAAACCATTAATTTTAAGGCATAAAAAAGATGCTGAACAAGACGTAAATGCAGTAGGAAATAACGATAATGTGACATTGATGAGAAATAATGCTAAGATTCAAAAGGATCAGTCGAGTATACTTACATATTTCCAATATTTTAATGATGGAATGAAAAAATCAGTATTCCTCACAAGTGATAATGTCGCTTCATGGATACAAAAAGTATTAGCTACAAGGTTAAACTTATATCAGCCAACGCAACAAATTGAACGTCCATACATTGATATCTTTCAAGTACCCCGGCATGGGTCAAGAATTAATTCAATAGTTGCAGAAACTTATGCTAATCCACCCAAAT